AAGACAATGCTTTTTACAATTGTGTTGTATATTCGGTGTTTATTGGTTTTAGAGATATGGTTGTCCCATAGAACACTGTTATTGCTTTTCTTTCTTGAGCATTTCTATCTTTAATAGGTTTATTTTATCAACTACTTGACATCTTCACTCCCAAATATTTGTATTTTTCGTAACTTTCAATAGTTTGACCATTATCCAGTTACAGATTTTGTTGGGATCCACCGACGCACATGTATTGGGTTTGAGAAATGTTGGCCTGTAGTCCGGCTATATTATTCAACTAGCTTTCTGGTCATATATTCAAAATCTTCAATGTGTTGCGCCATTACCACTTGATCGTCTGCGAAGCTTAGGGTATAGATGGTGTTGTCGTTAAGCGGGATACCCATATTGCTACATTTACGTTTCCACTGTAGCAGCGCTTTTTCTAAAAATATTTTGAAAAATGTAGGAGATAAACAACAACCTTGCTTCAAGCCTTTGTAAAGCAACCGTTGGAGAGTTTGTTTCCAACTTTTATTTTTATATGAGATTTTTTGTAAATTTCCTTAATGGCTTTAATTATCGTTATATTGATGATTATTGTCTCCAGGGCTTTCCACAGTTTGTAGCGCCCTTTCGGTTTTTCCTTTTCTTGCTTTAACGGTTATCTCGGGCGCCACCCTCAGGATTATTGTGGTTGAGGGCCCACGTGCACCAAGTAGCTTGTTACAGTGGAGATCAGGGGTCGAATCAGATGCTGGAGGTGATTCCTTCTATACCTCCTGTAAATCCTCCCGAAAACTCCAAAGGAAGACACATGAAATCAATATTAAGTTCTGGTATTTATTGCTACAAATTTATAACAGTAAATAAGGCAATTCCTATAGTAAAGTAAAACATTCCTCAAGCAGAGTGATTAGAGTGAATGAAGCGGGCGTGCAATGGAGAGAGTGAAAATGTGTATGTGTGCGTGCGTGTAGATTAATGATAACGGGCGGTTTTTAAGCAAGCGATGAGTAACAGAAAATTAGAAGCGGTCATGCAATACAATAGCGGTTAGATCTTAACGGTTTTAACTCTTTCGAATACTGACGTACCCGGTCTACACTTTATTTAAGACATCTTGGATACAGACATGAATTTACTTGGTTGGTCAATACGGTAACCTTAGATCGGTTAGAATCAACCGTAACGGCGGTGGAAATAATGCCCTGTCCGTACACATGAACCGTGACAGTATAAATAATATCTTAGAGAAAACTGTCCGTACACATGAACCGTGACAGTTTATAGAATCTTACACTCTGTCCGTACAAATGAACCGTGACAGTAAAACATGAACCAATATATGGAAAGAAACTGCCCGTACACGTAATCCGTGACAGCTATAGAATTTTAAACTTTGTCCGTACAAATGAACCGTGACAGTAAAAATAAATATCTTAGAGAAAACTGTCCGTACACATAAACCGTGACAGTTTATAGAACCTTAAAATCTGTCTGTACAAGTGAACCGTGACAGTAAAAAAATAATATAATTTACCAACCAAGTATTAATGAAAAATAACTTACTCGTGTGGCGGTGGAACTGGTACCAGTCGGTATTTCGGAGAGAAGGCCTACCTCGGTATTCGCTGGAAGTCGGAAGCATCTAGTTGTTGAGCATGTGCCACTGACTGACTTAACCCAACGCCGTTCGTTTGTAAGGAAAACGCTCGAGGATGGAAGGGCAAGCTAGTGGGAGAAAATACCATGTTGCGCGCTTCGACTACTATAGGTCCAGAGCCGGCGGTGCAGCTTCGAGCGTGCGACCATACAAACTGCTACTTGCACCGAGGTCACGCGGAAAATATTAATATATTTGGAAATTAATTATAATTTGGAGATATTCAAGAAAGCCGTGCTGCTTCTTCTTAAAATCAAAGAAAAGTTGTGTGGCTTTAGTTACACAAATAATTAAAAATACGATAATCAAGTTAAATCACTACCGCGGGGTTGAACGAAAATTACTTAGCGCAAATAGTTGAACTAAAGTAATTAAATTGAAGTCAGAGGCGCACACATTTTCGGAAAAAATCTGGTAACTCCGTTACAAGTTTAACCATTGAAACGCTGTCGTGAGCTTTTTTCAGGTCTACGAATAATAGGTGGACTTAAAACTAACCCAAACTTGTAGTTTTTTTCAGCCATGAGTCACCAGTGATGCATAAGATTCAGTAGCCTTAATACCGACAGGTATGTTTGACCCAATTTACCTCCAATACGAGCTATTCGACTTACGACAAATTGATGTTACTTCACGACAAATTGACGTATACGACAAATTTACTTTACGACGAATTGACATATACGTCGAATCAACGCTACGGCAAATTGCCGTACACGACGAATTGACCTCATGACGAATTGACGAATACGAAAAATTGACTTCACGACGAATTGACATGTGCGACGAATTGACTTTACGGCGAATTGATGTATACGACGAATTGACCTTACGACGAATTGACATACGACGAATTGACGTACGACGAATTGACGTACGGCAGATTGATTTACGACGGATTGACGGTAACCCATTGCCAAAATAATGTCATTTTGACTTTTATCTTTACTAAAAAAACAGATTTTATATATGTCCAGGCTTAATGTAAAATCAGTCTTATTATAATACGCCTAGGCTTTTTCAATACGACTAGGCATATCGTAATACTACCCAAATACTTAAGAATTTCACAATTAGACTGGTAATTTTAGTTTTATTATAATATGCCTGCTGCGTGTTAGTCTTATTGTTGAAATGAACCTGCATTAGAATCCGACTAGATGAAATCCGTAGTATTATAATACGACTGATAGTGCACCAGGCGAATTGTATTGAATAAAACTTCCAATGTGCCTTTTGGCCGATATATTGTGCTGAACGCTAACTTTCTTATTCTTTATGCCAAAGAGACATCTTAATCACCAAAGTTTAAAGTATTTTTTCCAAATTTCGTCTCTGTAGCATAAATAATAGGAAAGCTACCCTTCAGCGCAACATGTATCTTTGTTTCTCTTTCTGGAATATCAATTATTTCATTACCTACTTTGGCAGTCAGTGATTTAATCCCTTGAAAACCATCGATTAAGCCGTGTATGGCACCAATTTCATAATCTCCATTCGTGATACTCACTACAGTTCAGGCACAAATATTACACAGAAATAAAACTAATCAACAATAATAATTAATATTAGTCGACTGGCACACTGTCAGTCGTATTATAATACGACGGATTTCATCTAGTCAGATTCTAATGCAGGTTCATTAAAACAATAAGACTAACACGCAGCAGGCGTATTATAATACGACTGCAATTACTAGTCTAATTGTAAAATTCTTAAGTATTTGGGTAGCATTACGATATTCCTAGTCTTATTGAAAAAGCCTAGGCGTATTATAATAAGACTGATTTTACAATAAGCCTGCGACATATACATTTGGGCATGCGGTTGATTTGGCTGTACCTGTGTAATGACGTAAGTTTCTTGACGCGTGTAATGCCGGGAGAACAGTCATCTCAAACCCACCCTAAATAATAATGATAGAACTACTTGAAAAACAGACACACTATGAGCCGATACTTTGATCTCGATTAACGAATTTGACATGTCAAGGTTTTGCATGGGCCAAGGTCTGTAAATATGATGTGGTTAGAGCACATTCAAAGTAAACCCCTGATTATTTTTAACGACTGTCAAATTCGAAAACTGAGAGCAAAAGTACCGGTACTAAGCCTTTCTGGAAACGCTGATCCGATTAACACGATCACACGTTTCTGTGCTATTAGGAAATAGTAAGTATTGCGGCATTCTTATAAGAGCTTTGTTGCAGTCAGTCAAAATAAGAGCCCTGTAGTAGCCATCCCAAATACGAGATTTGTTATGTTCGTTTTGATAAGTACCTACCTTATAAGTGAATTTCATATGAAGTCAATCTGTTTAATAAAATGTGTCAATGTTTATGAGATGAGTTTTAGTGGCATTTGCAAACAAACATAATACAAAAAAATCCTGCATGAAGGTCGGACGACGCTCATCACATGTTATCGATACAAAAGTAAATCGAAACTTAGTTAGCCAAGCTATACACATGTGCTTTTATAAAGTACTCTTGTCAATAATTCAGATGTGATTAATTGAATTGAAGTATGCACTGTTCAAATTTTTAGTATCTTGCTTCACATTCTTATGTTCATCCTTTCTTGATAACTATTGTGCAGTGCATGTATATTTATGTTTTGCTATATCCTGAAAGAGGGCAAAACTAAATAATTTTCTATTTCAGCGTCCTGAAGATGACTTCATAAAAGTCGAATCGTCGATATAGTAAACAGTTTCTGGTTTCATTTTGGCCCATACCAAAAAATGACACCTTCCAATAAATAACAATGATTGATTATGATTGTCGTTCTCTATTTAATTGATTTCTCAATACTAGTATATTTTGCAAAAATGATATTAAAAATGTAGTTGAATGTTTACTTAGCATGCAGAATATTATTAGGTTTGGAATACAGAATTTTTGGAATAATTGATTTATGCTAAATATGATAATGCATTCAGAGGAAGCGTAGACGACTTGGTGATGAGTAAGTTAGATCTTTTGTTTTTTTAGTAAAATTTTTTGGACATCATTTTATTAAATTAAAATCTAGCTTGGAATTTTTTAAAAAAGTTTTCCATTTCATGTTTCCTTTGAATTTTTATTTTGGCTTGTTAAGGTGAATTCAAACGTTTCTCAAATATAAAATCATTTCATTGTGCTTCCCACATAGCTACATAACTTTCATTTTGAATGCATTATAATTTTATGCTGGTTTTAACGGAACGTGCCAAAAAATTATTAAATTAAAAAAAATTCTGTGCCAATTATTGAAATTGTGCCTTTCGGTAACCACTCCTCGATCCTCGATAAGTTATTCTAATGTCTTGGTTTAAATGGGTATTTGTTTAATCAGATATGTATCTTTTTCAGGAATGGACGGACTACAATCTCCGATGGAATGAAACCGAGTACGGAGGGGTCAAAGATTTAAGAATAACACCAAATAAACTCTGGAAACCAGACGTTCTTATGTATAACAGGTAACACGTGGAGTTCTGGGCATGAAGTTACACACGTAGTTGTAGATTTATGTCGATCTTCAACCCCAAAGCATGATTTTATAATTTTCCTGTTATAAATTTGAATTTCTAAAATAAAACTAAAAAAAAAAAACTAAAACGTGTTATTTGCTTTATTAGAGGAAAATATGGAAAATCCATGATTGAGCATGTCATTATTATTTATTGTAAATATTTCGTAAATTATTCTTGAGCAGAAAATTCGGAAATTCTGATCTTTTATTATAATCCCTATTCAGGGAGGCTGTTTTTTGTCTGCGTTTTTAACCTATTTTTTGTTGGATAATCCAGAAAACTTTAACCTAATGAGGTCTAAATAAAATTTATCAAATTCTTGACTTGCTCTGTGTGCTTCAATTTACATCGTCATCAACGTACTAAACTATCAGTGGCAGAAAAAATATTATTACTGTATATAACCTAATATGTAGTTTGTACATACCTTTTTGCTTAGTAGATGTATGCCTTTGAGGTAAAAGTATTACGTTGAGTATCTCCTTTCCTATATTTTTGCAATTTGTAGATTTCCAAAAAGTAGTTCATATTGAGTATAAGTAGCCACTTTATAATATTGTATAAGTAGGATTTTTAAAATACCTTCTTCAATAATTATTGAGTGTTCTATATTAGAGATGTTATCAAAGCATTTTTAAATTAATAAATTTTATAATTAGAGCTAAATTATTTATGTTATGCTGGAAGATTTGATTTCTTTCAAGGCCAAGTGAAAAAAATACCCAACTAAGCATTTGATAAATTGGATCTCAAAATATTTACAGTGCATCGAGATTGTCGCGGTGTAGTAATAACAGAACCTTATGAGGTTTCCGAATTATATACGAAATTCGTATGATTTTTGCGGTTCTAATATCTTCAGAAAACTTAATGTTTAAATGCTAGTTTGTAAAGAAAAGAAAACATTTGTGCAGTGGGATTTTATAACATCGGAAATGGGTCATGAAGCCTTGAGACTTACTGAATGTCATTGTACGATTGGGTTAATCGGAGCGCGAGGCAAATATTTGAAAGAATATGTGGTCGTATGTCTCTAGTTTCTCCAAGGCAGAACATATTAATGCTGTCCTCAATTATTCTTTCCAGATTTTATTCCTAAACAAAAAACCAGCTACATATTTTAATCTTTTATTGAGACTAAAGCAGATGGAGATTCAGATATCATAAATGTAATGAAAATCAAATATATTGGCAGCAAAACACTTATGCGAAATGTATTTTGTTAAATGAAAAACGCTTCAGTTAATATTAATGTGATACCTATTCATCAAGCTTGAGGTTTTCGTGCTTTATCAATAGTAAGGAAATGTTCCCGAAAAAAAGCGGCAGTTTAATGAAAAATTCTATGGTGCTTTACAATGAATAGGCGTCGATATATCTACATAATCTTTTCTGAAACATCATATTGTCGTGCCATTCAGCCGAAGGGGAATAATGAATTCATTCTCACAACTGTTGCGTTTATAGTTCGAATCGTTCCTGGAATAAATCCAGAAGTTGTAATACAAGGATAAATATTACAGCAAAAAATGTTTCGTAAACGAATAAAATTTCATTTTCTAAGAAAATAGTGCTTCTCTTTAAAATAATTTAAATCAATATAGCAAAGTGAATGACACTGAGTCTCAAACAAAACCTTCGGTTGAGCTGCATTGGAATAAAAATATTGACGCAGCGCTTCGTTGGTCTCATAAAAATGCCATGGATACTCAACATTTATTCAAGTGCAGATTTTTTCAGTTGGCACTTGGGTAATAGAAAAAGTCAGGACGCCTGTTTTTGAAATTAAAACCATGATATAGAACATATTTGCATGGATAAATTAAATCCAGAAACGCTTTTTAGGCTCTAATTATTTATTTGTTACCAAAGCTACTGTTTAATTTATTTTACCATTACTAGTTTAAATGACATTTCAAAGAGTTCCTCCCGAGATGTTGTATCATCGAAAACATACTTGAATTTATTGACCATCAACGAAACAAGTTTATTGATCTAATAACTGGAAAAGATAATAATTTATATCATATTCGCTTAATAAAACTGGTGGAAATGTGTTCCATAAATAAATTTACTAAATATTAAAGTATTTGCATACAAATCGCTGTCATATTAGTCTCATGTTGTTTAATAAGGCCATCTCTAAGCTTACGTTAGAGTTCGTATCTTCATGACATAATTTATTAAGTTCAATTTCTCTCTCAACCCTACAATTAACCGTCATGTATAAATTCTCAGGTGCAAACAGCGTTCTCGTCACTGAAATATATAAGGCAACTTCAACAACAAACGCTTAAAGACATTAATAAGCGGTTATTTTAATTAATTATTTTTTCCCAATCAGCTAGGTACTTTTAACCTGCAAATCTGCAATTGAATTTCTCTAGATAAATAAATTAGCATAGTATATATAATTTAAATAATCTATTGGAAAATATTTTCAAATTTCTGACATATGGTTCAATGTTTAAATAAAAAATGTGTAAATTGGTTTTGACCTGAGCGGCTAGGTGTCCTTGCTTACAGTAGATCACAAATAAGTTGGATGAGTGGACAGTTGAATTACGTTCTGCGAAAGATAAATGTGGAGAAAATTAAATAAAAGTATGCACTTAAATAATGGTAAAAAGAAGGTATTCATAAAAGACTGCCCTGCGAACACAGACAAGATAGAGACATAATCATACTGTCAGCATACAAATCCACATGAAACACCCTCTTAGGTACAAACCCGAAAATATCATTTAACTCAACAGCCCGAAATTACAGTTCATGATTGTATCCATTTATATGCTAAAGCTCAAGCCTGGCAAAATAAGAATTCCGGATCCGAAAAATTGGTCAAATTTCTGCAACCGAAGATTTTCAACCAGACTCACTTTTCGCTATCTGCGATAAGCCAGACTGCAATTTTTATAAACTTTATGTTCTACTTTGGTGAATGTAAAATATTTTTGACTGGGAGAATAAGTGGACCTCTATTGTATTTCTATTTTTTGAATCCATTCAAAAATTTTAGCCAGACTCGAATATTCTGGTTCTTTGTCATTGAGAGAACAGATTAATGCATATACGCCGACTGGGAAAATAGGTATGAAAAAAAATCATTGTCTCCTCGACTTACATTCAGCGGCCTTTTTTTTTCACAGTGTAATCACAGCTTCTTTTAAAATAATGTTTCTATATTTGAACTTTTGTGAAACGCTCAACTACCTACATAAAAATCGTTTAAAGTAACCTTTTACTGCACCACTGGCTATAAAAAAGTTGAAAGAGCAACAGAGAGTTTCACGAAATAATAGAATTTATAATTCACTAGGTATTGTTTCAAATCCATTCGAAATGATAATTTTTACAACTTTTTCTTTCAAATTGCTTTCACCTACCTATAAAAAGGGTCGCAAAGAGAGATAAGAAAAATACATTTTCACTACAAAAATTAACTTTGTTTATATTGTTACGGATCAAGACAGAGGTTGAGGAAAAACTCTCCTGTGAAAATCTAAACCCTAGACAATTCTATAGGATTCTTTTCAGTTATTAATAGAGTATTCTTTGTAGATAGGATGAGTTAGGAAAAAGCTCGGGAAAAAGTGACTGAGATAATATTCTTAGTTAAATTTACTAGCGATTGTGAAGTGATTCGAGAGCGGAAATAAAAGGATCTGTTTGTGGAAAATTGATTATTTTAACTTTTTTAATTCTAATACAAAAGAATGTCGTAAAAATATGTGCTTTTCATAAAAGCTTGAGCTCTATGTCAGTCTGCAGATTGTCTTAGGTGATCTTACCTTTTCCAAATAATGAAAGAGAAAAGTGGTTAATATGTTTAGCGTCAGTTTCTAGACTTCTATAATCCTAGTCGGCTGGATTCTGTGGAGAATTGTCTGGGGAGATTTTTTAACTTCCTATCGATAAACCTGTATTCTAAGAGCCAGTGGCCTGCAGACTTACGGTATTTTAACAAATCTTATATTTTCTTTAACTTCCTTCCTATAACTGCCATGAATGCAATTGGGATTCTTTAGTCTGAACGGCGGTTCCTATAGAGTCACTCGAGTACTGAAGATCCAAAAATTTAGAGGAGTTCAACGGTATAGTAACAAAGCTGCCGCTTTGATATTTTTTTTCTCGATGCTGAAACTTTCACTTCAGTTTTGGTACCGCACCTCTTTTTAAGTAATCTGACAAATTCAGTACAAAAAAGGAATAGTTTTTTGCATATACAGTTGAAATCTACAATAACTAGGCTTTCAATTGGTGCAAGAATTTTGAAAAAATATTGAAAAAATGCCTTACAATCGTGAGCTATACACAAAAAATAGTTTTTTTACGATATTTTAAAATAGTCGGAAAATATTTTTTATTCCTATTTGCAATTACCAATTCAATGGAGCCCTCCGGATTTGAATTCGCAAGGCCATTCTCCACATTGTACATATTTTTTAAAGATTATATCTTCGAGTGCACAGTACGTGATCGAATTTCGGTATGCTGATTCCTGACTATTGCGGATCTTTTGCAAGTAGTGTAATGTCCGAACCATGCGCAGTGCCTTGATGTTTGATCAGCTGATGAGTTAACTGAAATTCTATTATTTTTATTATCATATAAAGGATTTTCCATTTGATCTTCTTTAGGTCGTGCTCAAGTAGACTGTTCCTTACCTTGCGCGGGTTTCGTCATAGGTTGAAACGTTGGCGGTCTGGTTCAACCCAGGTATTCTCAGCACCATCCGCCTGCCTCCCAGTCCAGGTATCGCCTCTCCTGGAAAGTGTCAAGCTGCTAGAGACTGACGTTTGGTTCCTGTGGATATCTCTCAGCATTTGGGAAGATTTTCAGCCAATTATGTAACACTTTGACCAAACGTTCCGTGGTTCGATCAGCCGCTTCTAACATGGAGAATATTCGCTTGTTGAATCCTCCCATTCTGGGTTAAACGCTTC